AAAATTCGGGGAAATCCAGAGACTTAGATACTTTAAACTTACCAAATACAATATTTTGCATTATCTGTTGGTTGATAGTGATAACCCTTGGCAAAACCAACTAATGCATTACTCCTCCCAAGTCCATTCTTCAAGAAACCTCAATATGCACTTTAAAGAATAGAATTTTTAAAAAAGAAGAACAGCATAAATCAAAGCGTGTCAATCAGCCACTCTTAGGCAACATGAGAACTGCTGACTGACGATTGACGATCGAGAAAATATGCTGCGTGCTGAGTTGCTAGATGACACCTTCAGATAGATGCAAGGGCGCTCGCCCAATCCGCTCTTTGTACGTAGGAAACGAGACCGCACACAGATTGGACGATTATAAAGTCTATGTTTAGTTGTTTAGGCACTATTCTGGAATACTGTACTAGCACTTCATTTTAAACAATAATAGAAATTCATAACTTTGACTTTATCTCTTGATCTTCTCCTCAAGCTCGAAATCACAACAAGAACCTTAGATAAAAATCTTTAAACATTTAGAAAAGTTAGTATGGTCAGGGCCATATCAAACTTGCCAGAAAAAAACAAAAAAAATCGAAAATTTCTAGGAAAGATTATACGATGTTCCTAAAGAATTGAAGCATCATCTGGCTTCCTAGAAATTTTATCTCGGACTGCAAATTAGAAGATATTCCCATTTCTATTAAAACTAAAGGTTATTTCATAGAGTTCAACAACGAGACCTTCGAAACGTAGTAAATCATAACATTAGCTCTTCCTGCAAATTTGACCAGTCAATCATAGTTCTCTAAAGTTCCAGGATAAAGAGAAATTCTCCGAAACTCACTAAAAAATGAGTTCAGGTGAACGATAGATGAATTGGAAACAGTGTAATATCAAAGAGAAAAGACAACAAATAAACACTAAGGAAGCCCGTTTCGATTTGCAGTAGGTTACAGAGGGGAAATAAACCCTAAAGGTAACTCGAAAACATTTTAAATTGATGATTCACGTTCCATAAAACGCCCATAAATCATTGTGAAATTTAAATGATTCCTCAGTTGGATTTTTTGCCATCTGGGAAGAATGTGGGTGAAGATCTGCTGCGTTTTACAGGATTTTGATGAATGAGCGTGCGTAACAAGCATGTTGTTAGTTGTACTTCATTACATCCCAATCCTCGATTTTTACACTGCTTGTATAGCTCCCATCTTCTTAGAATCTCTTCACTTTCTCAAATCATGTTACTTGCAAATTTACCTGTTTTATGACTCCTCTGTACACGAGCTAATTTTACATTTGCTGTGATTTTTATATGAAGAGAAATGGTTAGTCCTTCCTATATTCAGATGAAATCTTAAATACAAGTACAC